ACATTTATACTGCTGTTTTATGTAAAATTTACACATAATGTCAATATTATTGAATCTTTAACTCATTAAGCTTTCATATATTACAACATAAAAATTACATTATTAAATAAATATATACTCACAAATTCAAACAACCACATTTTGTTAGTTGGTAGTTCACTAACATTGTAATTAATATGCAATTTATACATGTTTGTCATATATATCACTTAAAATTAACCTTTCTATCATAAAAATACTTAACTCACGAATACTAATTAATCACACCATACATACATAGTATATGACCTTAATTATCAAAAAAACATTTGTAACTACTAATATTATTTTAATAACTAGACACACTAAACATAATATCTAATGGTATCAAGGTCGTAGACTTACAGGGTCTCATAATAATGATGTCTTAAACCCTATATAACATCCTAATGGACATAATCCCTTCGAACTCATGTGGATTTACTACGGCACATCCTATTGGTAAGGTACGGGATGTAACAGAGGCATAAACAGAAGTTATTTTTCCAGAATTTATGTACATTATCCTAGTCTCATAAGCTACAGTATTCTCCCTTATCGGGACTTTATTTTCAGTTTAGTTTTGTCTTCTTTCAGCAAAGAGAGCAGAGAGTCTATATATATACAATATTATAGTATTTTCACCATCATCGAGCTATAATCAATGGGCAAGCCTCTATTGGGCAACCTCTGATCAGATGGTAAGTCATATACCGAGCATATTGTGGCCAAGTGCCTATAAGCAAGCCCAGAATGGCCGAGATACAGAGCCTAGTATGGTTGAGCGCCTATGAGCGAGCCTACTACGGCAGAGTAGTTACACATATTGAGCCTTATAGGGTCGGACTGCTATTTTACATACTATACTGAGAGAGATGAGTCAGTATCAGCAGGTAAGCATATTCTCAAATTATGTTTGACTCCTAGGTACTTTCAATTGTTATATTATCAGTTCAGTTTCAGCTTTTAGTTATTTTGTTCCCTTACATACTCGGTACATTATTTTGTACTGACGTCCCTTTTGCTAGGGACGCTGCATTTTATGCCTGCAGGTCCTGATAGACAACTGGATAGACCTTCCTAGTAGATAAAGTCAAACATCAGCTTGGTTGGTAAACTCCACTTCCTTGGAGTTACCAGGTCTATATCTTGGAGTTTATTTTATATATATAGGTTTGATGGGTAGGTCGAGGCCCTGTCCTGACCATGATATAGTTTAGTTATCCCTAGAGGCTTGTAGACGAGTCCTGTACATTTTTAATATCAGTATTATGGCTTTACCAGCCCTATGTAGATGTTTAGGTTGGTATTGCTGGTTGTAGACATTATTTTCAGATGATTCAGAATATGGCCTCATCGGCCTAAGTTGAGAGTTACCCCTCCAGAGTTCACAGTTACAGAGTGGTATGCTCGGATCGAGTATGACACTAGGTACCCACTATGCCTTTTCATATTTGGAGCGTGACACTTGAGTTGTGATAGTATACTTGTACATGCATACACCGTATCATGTCATTTACACTAGTTCAGGAGTATGATACTTGATGTTCATTGACCACATGCATGACTTCTTGTATATCTGCTTTCTCTGCAATATAATTGGACTGGTAGCCTATGACCATGCCGGGCAGATTGAGATATTGAGCCTATGATCATGCCGGGAGAATTGAGATATTGAGCTTGTGACCACACCGGGCGGATTGAGATATTGAACATGTGACCACGTTAGACGGTTTGTGATAGTGAGCCTATGGCAATGCTGGGCGGATTATAATATTGGCATGTGAGTTGTCCGTGCGTTTGTGATTGATAACGTGGGCACGAGGTGCCATATGTGTATGATTTGTAGGATTGGGATTCGTGATTCATGAGTATGAGGTGTGGTACCTCAGGATGATTCTAGTTGTAAACCTTGTGATAGAACAATTTGATTATTTAGTTGTCATTTATTTTCTTTAATTGGTTTCATTGGTACTTTAACTGAGTTCTGATTGTTTGCTGTGTTATCACATGTTTACTTCTTGTTGCTATTTGTTGTTTCTACCCTCCATTGCTAGCGGTATATTGTTATTCTTCACATGCTTAGTTTTATATTGATATTTGTTCCTCTGTTAGGTTTATATTAATATTTTGCACATGTTATTTTATCTAGTAGGTGTCTTGACTTGTACCTCGTCACTACTTCATCGAGGTTAGTCTTGGTACTTACTGGGTACCGATTGTGGTGTACTCATGCTACGCTTTTGCATATTTTTGTGCAGATCCAGGTACTTCTGAGTATGTCGGACGTAAGTTAGCTGCTTGTGATTCGTTGTGGAGATCTCAAGGTATGCTTGCCATGGCGGCTGTAGGCCCCGGAATCACCTTCTATTGTTTTTCATTACTACTATTTATTTTTACTCCAGAACAGTCCTGTATTTAGAGACTTGTAGTGAACTTAGTAGAGCGTATGATTCCGTACTATCGGTTTTGGAGTTGTATGATTGTTATTCGGTTCAGTTATGTTATTTCAATGATCAGTTTTTGAATTAAGTTGGTTATTTCTGCATATTCTCAATATGTGCTATTTACCTAGTCCTAGGGACTAAGTGCCATCACAATCCATAAGATGAGATTTTTGGTCGTGAAGCGGTTGATTAGTAGGTTTGAAATGAGAAACTTTATTGTTGGTTTTTGTTACTAACTGCTAGAATAATTTTTAAATTAGGATAAGATTATTCCTACTTGGGTAAGGGAACTACTAATGCAAACATGACCCTTGAAAAAGAGATATTCACCATTACAAAGCTTCAAAGCTTCAAAAACTTCAGTTAAAAAATCAAAATTTTCGAAATTAGATTTGATTTCGATTGGGTGTTGTGGTAAACACTTGAAAACATTTTAAGGGCTTATATCTAGATTTTCAGGTAATTTGATAAACGAGCGAATATAGTAAAATTTTCAGTCCTACATCGAAGGAGGAAGAAGAGCTTGCTGCAATTTGACTGAATTGTATATATTTTGTTAAAAAAAAGTATAGCTACGTCTAAAAATACAAAAACCTAATTAAAACATGGTAAATAAGTTTATAATTTTGTATATAAACGAAAAAAATACCAATTATTTTTGTGTAACTTTCAGATTGTACATCATATTCCAATATTATTAGTACTCCCTTTGTTCCAGTTTATGTAAACTTATTTCTTTTTTTGGTCTGTTTCAAAAAGAATGACCCCTTTCTAAATTTGGTAACAATTTAGCTTAAACTTACAATTCTACCCTTAATGAAAAGCTTTTATAACCACACAAATACTCTGGGCCCATTTTTGACTTGTTTAGGCCCATTCAAACAGGTTCATGTAAATTAGAACAGAGGGAGTAATTAGTATTTGATTTAAATTCACACAAGAAAATTATATATTAATCCTATAATTATGAAACCTTTATCCTTTTTTGGGACTTTTGGGAAAAACTTGAAACAACTCATCAAGTGACCTTTCTGTTATATCTAAAACTACAGGGTAAAATTTCTTCAACTGTAATAAACCTCGGGAGCCAAGAGATTGGAAACAACAATGGCAATGGCCGTTGAGGTCGCCGGCGGTGGCGGAACTTTATCAGAATTCTACCAGAGTTCCCGACGGCTGTTACTCAAAACCAGAGACGGTTTAGAGAGGCTCGAACGTTTCGAATATACCTCCTTTTCTTCTTCTTCTTCTTCTTCTTCCTCCGTGTTGTCGTCGGGCGCTGCCGTGAGCGATCCTTCGGAGAAATCAGTTGACGGTTTAAGAAAAGATATAAGTCAGATCCAATCGCTTTGCTCTGAAATGGAACGTCTCTGGCGATCCATACCTGCTAAATCTCAACGTGATCTCTGGAAAAGGTCACCTCTTTTTTCTCCCTGAATTGTGATATTTGAATTTCAACTGCTTCTTTGTTTGTTCTCTTTTGGTTGATATTTTCGATTAAAGACTCATATAGTTGAGATTAAATTGGGTATTCTTGTAAGGATAAGTGTGAGGCTTAGAGAATCCTTAATTTTGGAAAATGATTTAGTAGTGAAATGGAGTTGTATGGAGCGGACTGGATGTTTAGGATATTCTTCTTCTTCCATCTGGTGCATGCTATCTCCCACCAGCACAAGACAGGTACTAGGTAACTTCGTTCATCAAGGCTCAGGTACATGAGAATAAATCATCTAGTAATTTTTGCTTTCTATAGAATTTGAACCCGAGACCTAGTGGTTGTCCTTCCACTTTATTGACTGTTAGGCCACACACTTGGGTGCATATGGCTGTTGAGGTTTCATATGGCTGATTTGATATTGAGGCATAGTTAATTGATAAATTAAGGTGAAAATGTTTTAGATTTCACTTTCTCTGGCTATGAGCAAATGACAATTGAGTAGTCTTATCGTCGAGTAATTCGAAATGAAGCTGTGAGTACTTAAAATTATGGAATTAGACACAATGCATGTCATTATAAATGATAATGTTAGATCATTCATACGAAAATGCTTCTATCGAGTTAGTATAAAAATTAGTTGAAACGCATGTCTTGGGTCCTTGACGTGCTCAAATTTGTAGAAGTCTCAGTTTTGACTGTTGAGGTAATATGATGTCGTATGATTTGATAGGATCCATCAGTAATCAGATTGTTGGAAGGAGACGCATGATTTGTTTAGTAGATGTCTGTCAAGTCCCACATTATTTGAGGGAATAGGTTGTGTTCTCCTTATATGGTCTTAGGAAATGCTCCCCTCATGAGCTAGCTTTTCGGAATTGAGTTAGATCCAAGGGTCATATCTTCACAATGTCCAAATTTGAAATTATCCAATCATTCATTGTTTATCAATTGAGAAATAAATCTGTATTTTCATACAATTTTAATTGTTAATTTCCTAGATCATACTGCAATGTGATTTATTGGAGAAATTTTGATTAGGATTTGTATTTAGTTTTTGAAATTAAGTCGAACTGTATTGTCGATTCAAAAAAAATGTTGGCCAGTGCTAATCAAATTTGGTGAGTCTGAATTACTATCGCAACCCTTTGATTAACAAAACCTAAAGTTTAGTGGTGATGAATTCACGTAGTTTTGTGAGGGGTTCTTAGTGAAAAACTGTCAGTCGTGTACTTCTTAAATAACTTTTATATCTGATATAGATTATTAGTGATAGGTGGAATAAGATGCAGTGGAGCAAGCACCAATTTGCAATAAACCAACGTTTTTTTTTCTTCTTAGAAGTGCAATGAATCAATGCATTTTCGCTTATTCTTTGTGGAGTCAAAAAGAGGGTCATGTTTTCCTGCAGTATGTATGCTTTAATGATGCTTTCATGGATATGTTGACGCTGTGGGGCTTTTGTGTTGGTGTTTCATGAGTATATTGCCATGTATCCACTTCATATGCACTTGATGCCTTCGGGTCTTACCCAGTCGTAGTCGGCCTTCGTCTCTAATTAGAAGTTTTTATTCCATAACAGAAAGTCTGTGTCTTACCTGTACAGGAAAGTGGAACAAGTGGCTGAAGAAGTTGACTCTTTGAAAGATAGTCTATTCTTGTCGGCTAACGCTTTCCTTCGATGCCTTTATTTTGTGAGCTTGGGGATGATATTGGTCCTTCGCCTTTTCTGAATGCCAGTTTTCATCACTTCGCTTGATCTACTGGGAACATGGCTCTCTTCTTTAAACCTTTCAATGGTTTCTTCAGTGGTATGGCTTTCTTCATCAAAATTGTTATG